ATATATATATGAAACAAAAGAAGATATGTTTTATATACCATAGCTATACGGATTCGATGCACCTAGTTGCCCCATAGTCTGCATATTTGCCATGTTAGGAGGAGCCTGCATTCTGGGACCTCCTTGACCGGGACCGACGATGCCAACTTGATGCACCTGTTGATGAGGACTTTGCCCTCTCGCCGGACCAACCATATGCGCTTGCTGTTGTTGCTGCATTGCAACAGCTCTTGTGTTCATCATTCCAGGACCGTTTTGCATTGGCGTAACCCCGTGAGGAGCACCGGGATGATGTATTGCTTGAGTATTAGGGCCCATCATGGTTACCTTCAAAAGATTCTTGGTCAAATGTACGATTTTATCAATCTTTTTAGACTAGAGAAAAAGTTACTATATTACATAAATCAACATACTGTATTTAAAGGTTGTTTGTTCAAACTGTTTGTTACTATCAAGCTCCCGCCAGCCATTCCTCCCATGTTGTTTCCGCTAGCGGTGCTAGTCATCACTAAACCGGAATTCATACCGCCCGGCATCGACATCGCGGGGTTACTTCCGGCCATACTCATGGACGATTGTAAACCGCCCATCGAATTCGCGATCGACATTTGATTATTCGCCAACGAACTGGCTATACTACTTGGTAGATTACCAAGACTCACGACCATCTGTGGATCGACTATTCCTCCCTTAGAAACGGAAACGTTCGGTGGCGATTGCATATTCGGACTCTTGTTACCTAACGTTCCAGCAGCCATTACTAAGGAATTCGCCACCAAGTTCTTGTTGCCCTGTTTAACAATTTTTTGTAAAGTATAAAGTGTATATCGATTAATAAAATCGTCAGATCTCTAATGTATAATGTAATCGGACCTGCTGTTGTTGAATGAGATGATGAGAGAGTTGTTGTTGCTGCTGCTGTACATGTTGTCTGAGTTCTGTATCGAGAGCACCATTTTGCTGCCCTGGACCAGGACCAGTTGCAGGTGGCTTGGTGCTCTCGGTTGTGGAACCCCAAGATCCAGATGACAGCAAGTCATCAGGAAGATCATTTTCAAGATCGAACATTTCTGTGTTAGAAATGTAATCTGAGAATGAAGAAAAAGAAAGAAATTAAGAACCACATTTCTATGAGCATCTACATCATGTTTTTGTCGTGATAACACATACTGGCTATCAGAAAAAATACATTTCTATATTTGTTACATCAGTGTATGTACGTGACTTACAGTATCATTAATTTATTCATTAATTCATTACTTTGACTTTTCATTTTATTGTATTGTTTAATTTTACTCGCTGTGTATCAAAATGACATTTTTATCTGTTTTTGGACTATTTGAATTTTATCATGAATGCACATTATATACAGTACATGTACTATTTTTCAAGATAACCAGTTCGCAGATTAAAATGATTATAATATTGAGAATGATAAGTACCATAGATACCAAGAAATCATTAGTAATTTTACAAGGGTAAGATTTTAGCGCCGTCACCATAGCTTTTAGCATCAAAATTTTAGCAGAGTATCTATATCTTCGATATTACAAATGTACGTGTTACATCATTATGTGCATAATGTATTATAGACCCTTTTATATACATATATACACATATAACTGCATGTAAATATACATATGTACATGCGTGTATATAGAGACACGTACAGGCAAAGAAGCATTTAATTTTCATCTATATTAAAAAACTTTCGATGCTATTAACATCATTAAAAAATGTTCACATTCCTATTAACATCATTAAAAAATGTAAACATTTCTAAGCAAATAAAACTGTTAAAACTTACTCATCTATCCACGACTGACCATATATACATTGACGGAGAAAAAAAGGGTGTACATATATAAATGTATACGTATGTATATGTAGGAAAAGTACAAATGCAAAAAGGAGATCCTATATATCAAAATAAAAACGAAAAAAAAAAGAAAAAATTACAGAAAACTGTACGTGGGTGTAAAACAAACATGAAAAATAAGACATGAGACATACACTGCATGAGCATAACGTAAAGGAGCCTTATTCTACAGCAGAATGAAAATTTTCGGCATAATAAATTAGTGCTAAACTAAACAAGCATCCAGCGAAGCTATCGATGGCAAACTTTATAGAAGAGTCATGCGAAGAAATCAGTCACTCTAGAAAATATCTGTTCAAGCAAAATAATACTCCCGACGCGCCATGTTCGTAAGAGAATGTCGGTTCTCTTCATCCTAAAAAAGAAGAAAAAAAGGGCAAAAATTTCTCAAGAACTTTAAACAAGATTTGTCTGCGCACGCACAGATTTTCATTCTATATTTATGTTCCTTTATAAATATCTGTAAAAGATTTAATTGATATAGACCGAGTCGACTCCCCACCTACGCTATTTATTATCAGCGCTGTATCGTAAACTCTCTTTATGTTAGAAGCACAGTGTTGTATGCATACTTAATTTCACCTTTGCAATTCCTCCGCAAGTCCACGAGCTCGGGGCGTGTGTGTCGCATGTCTATGTTACGTTTTGATTCACATCGAGAAATGTCTCACGGTGTTCATTACAGAAAAGAGGGGAACTCGGTTTATCCTGAATTCTTATGTACCTTTATAGCAACCACCGATCCAATTTTTCTCCATTGCTATGTAAAGTGAATCAGTCCGTGATCAAAGTAAGACAATACTTAATATATCCGTATTGCCGCTCTATATGCTCTGCCATATTTTTTTCAAAGATAAATTATCACGACATCCATTTCTTTCACATTCTTCTCTAACCGTGTCGACAATAGACTAAAGTTATTGAACCATAGTGACAATATGCCAAAACTATCACCCATCAGAAAGTACTGGTGAGACTGGAAGATGTCACTGAAAATCAGAGACTGAGGCAAGTAACTTTAACGAGAGAAACGTATGGTACTATGAGATGATCGAACGGACAAACAGATTTCATTTTTTTTTTTTTTGCGGTGCCGAAACTTGATACTTTTTCGAGATTGTCGCTTTTTTGATCTGATAATGATATTTACTTCTTTTCTGGATGGTATTGTTGTTCCAGTGTTGCAGCGGATGCTGTTGCAGATGTAGATGTTGCGGTGGAGCCTGTATTTGTTGCATGTTACCACTGCCACCTCCCCCGTAGTTCGTATAAGCAGGGTGCATCAATAAAGGCGGCATACCCACTACTATATCACAGTTTTTCGTTTAATTTAGGAACGAAGGAGAATATACTATTCAAAGCTCGTTCTCTGGATTATGGTACTATAAGGTCGGTATTCATAATCAATTCTTATTTCGAGGCCATCTTAAGTAATGTCTTAAGATACTAATACTCTGATATGCAGTTTTGCTGAAGTATCTAAAAATGTAGCACTGAAAATAATTTTTTTGGGCCATAAAAATAATTATATAGGACGTTCAAACTGCTAGAATGTTCAAACTTTTTGTCATCAAACGTCTTGCTAAATTATTTAAACGATTAAAATTATTTTCATATCTGCATGTAGCACAAATTTTTAGATTTTAAATCTAAATACTTCAGCAAAACTGTTCTTGTCGTATACTTAAGATGATATTAAATATAAGAATTGACTACGAATACTGATCTAATTATAAGTAGCAGAAACAGTTTGAGAATTCGACTTTTCGGTCATCGTCAACGACTCTCACGCACACTCGCGATTCTTGGCGATTGTGAAAACTCGAGCAAACTGTTTCTGTGACTTTATCCGTTTTTTAGTACCCTCGCAAAGAAGCGATTCGAAGAGTCCGCGATTACATCCGAGTAAAAGATAATTACAAATCGATAATAATACAGCGTTATGTGCGTCAACTTCGAGTTTGAAAACTGTTAAGGGATGATTGAAATGTGTTTCAAAAGGGTTTAATTTAAAAAACAAAAAATAAAGGAAGAACAAAGAGATATATATTAGCGCATCGTTCATGCCAGCAAGATGTAATCTTTAACATTAAAGTGTCATGCACCCTCATGCACTACAAGATCGCAACTATGTTTTAAATCTAGAATATG